CTAGTATGGCAGGTCTGAGAACTGGAAAAGCCCAAAATAACCAAATCAGCATACACAGGAAACTGAGAGGGCCAATTGGAGAACAGCGGCTAAACCCAGGAGGGGCTTTTGCCTGAGCCTAGAGTGAGTGAGCAAGGGACCCACAGTAAGATCTGCAGGGACTAAAGCAGCTGATCTCTGTGAACTTTCAAGACTGATCCCAGGCTTCCTCTCCAGGAGGAAAAACTGCAGGGAGTGGGTCAAAATTGAACAGAGTGGGGGGTTACAGAGACAAAGGAAAGAACAGACCCCGGTAGAAGTAGGCGAGGGGAACAGAACCAGGAAGTATCAGAAAGCAAGCTGCCACATTGTGGACTACATGACAACAGAAGACTTAGCTCTATGAACTTAAAAAAAAAAAGCCATCATAAATCCTACCTTCTGAAAGTTCAAGGAAGCTATTTTTTCACATAAAAATGAAACACAAAAGTACTGAGGTCAAATTCCATACAAAGGTTATAAAGAAGGGGAAAAAAAGAGCAGAATAACGTCCCTATAAACCATGAAAGCATGCCACAAAATAGATGAGAGGGAGAAAAAGCCCAATATAATAGCTTACTATTTCAAAATAAGTTAAAAGACTTACAGGAAATAAAATGACATAAGACACGAAAGAACATAATTCAAAATCAGAAAAACTCAGAAGGTATTAGAACACAGAAAAAACAGAAATAAGAAAAAATGCATTTCAGAAATAAAGACGAAACTAGGAGGCACACAAGCGGGAATAAACAACATATAATACCCCAAGAGAAACAGAAGGTGGAGAATAGGAAGAACAAACTAAAAAGAGAGAGATATAAAGGATTTGAAATAGTGACAGATACTGAAGACAGGCAAAGAAAACCTCGCATACAAATAATAAGCATCCTTGAAGCATAAAAAATAAAAGGGAACTAAACTAATATTAAACATTAAACTTTTTTTAAAAACCTTACCAGATATTAAAAACATTTATTTTAAAATATAATCAAAATAATACACAGCAAACCTGAGAATATCTAACCAGAATGATTAAGATTAAGAACTGCTCTAGTAAAATGACTGGACTTAAATAAAAAGAAATAAAATGCTATGGACATCTAGAATAAGTAAGTGAGGGAAAAGAAAGTTGTATTATTATTAGACTTTGAGAGCAACGCTGTCTGCCAAAAGAGAATTAAAAAAACATATTCAAGTAAAGAAAAGATGAGCCAAGGGCTTTCTATTCAGCAAAAATGCCTTTCAAGTATGAAGGGTACCGACACACTGTTATTAACAAGCAAGGACTTGGAGATTATTTTAATGAATCCTCTCTGAGGAATCTAAAAGCAGAGGAGTGACATCGACATAAGGACCCTGGTCAACATTAAACATATAGTTACTTGTTGAGGACTGAAAGGGAGGCAGGACAGGCGGCAATGGCCATAGTCAGGAGTGTGGGTGTAGTACAATGGCAAAAAATTGGGGAAATGTGGAGAGCATAATGACAAAATTTTTAAAAATTCTCTTCAGTAATTATATTTTTATGGGAGTGCTAATATTATCCTGAGCCTGTTTGTATATAATATGGAATAAAACAAATAAGTAGTTATGAAATATTCTAATTCAGTCATCCTCTGTAACTTTAAGAATCAGGATTCTCAGTTTGAAAAGAAAAAATAAAGATAAAATACAGAAGAAGCTAAATAAAAGTACTCTGTAGTCAGCAAGGTCAATGATTGAGGGCTGGTGTGGGGCCGCCTGATTCTCAATGTAGGAAGTAAGGGTAAGGCAGAACCAAATTAACTTTTACCTTTGGAAAATATGGAAGTTGAATAGGGCAATTCAATTTTTCCCAATTTGAATAGGAGCAATTAGCATAACTCCTATGGTATTTTATCTTAAAATGTATACATACATATACAGACAGATAATTAAATAAATAATGTCCTGACTGTCTGTAAAAGTAATGACCAACCTAGAAGCAATAAGCCCCCTTAGCACTGAGATTGTGGTCTTGAAATACCATTTTCTTGCGTAAATGAGGGCTACTTGGAGAATGGTTTATTCCAAGTTTGGGGCAAAAATGTACTAGGTGAACCTGGAATAACTATTAGGCTCATGTAAAAAAACTCTGAAACCAACTTAAAGAGGTTCTTACTATAATTTGAGTTTCTGCAAGAAAAATAATTATAATGAATTGAAACCTAAGTATGTTTAAATCCATAAATTCATAACAATATTTGAAAAAAATAATTAGGTACTTTCAGAAAATCATAGGTAATCAATTCATTATCTTGAAAAATGTTAAATAAATTAAAAGAATGAAGCATTAATTCTACTCTTTCTCTATGAACTATATCATTGTTTCAATAAATCATACATGATGGACATTGTCTCTTGAAAGCAGTTAATAACTAAGAAAGAATTAATAACTAAAAAAAGAAATGGTCAGAACTAAAATGCCATGATTTATAAGTCCTCATGAATCAATGAACTTAGGCATTGAGTGTCAATAGCTGCTAACATTACTGAAAGAAAGACAACCATTATATGCTGCCCATCTGACTGAGCCTCTGCATCCAACTGCTAATGCAGGAAATACAGGGGACAGAGGCACATGTGGAACTGCACTAGGAGTGTGCAATCATCAGCATCCAGATTGTGGGGAACTACAGGTCAAGTGGTCAGGTTTTAACAGATTAATTATAAGGCAAACAAAGAATAGAGGAAAAACCTGTAGATGAAGAGATTCAATGGAAACAGTTTTTAAATGGATAAGACTAAACTCTACTATCTATAGACTTTAGTGGAAAACTATAAAGAAGCAGAAAATCTATAATAATAAAAGGATAATATGCTAATTAGACTGGACATCTTCTGGACGCATTCTGGATGTCCTTTCTGATGAAGCCGGGGCTGAGGGAAGCCAGCCCGGGTCCCAGGTGCCTGCCAGCAGCCACAGGGGGAAAGCCCGGGTCCTGGGTGCAGGAGGGAAGCTGGTGCTGGCAGCTGGGGGAAGGAAGGCCTACTCTTGCACAAATTTTTGTGCATCAGGCCTCTAATATGATTATAAAAAGTCATGGTAGGAGTCACCTTGGTGGGAGGGAAAGTGGGATTGGATGACTGGCAAGTACTATTTCTTGGCCTGGACGGTGGTCATGAGGATGTTTGCTCATCTACACTAATAAAAGAGAAACATGGTAATTGGCTTACGACCACTACCCTTCCCATTGGCTAATCAGTGAGTATATGCAAATTAACTGTCAGCCAAGATGGCGGCCAGCAGCCAGGCACTGAAGCGAGCAGGGAGGCTTGCTTGCTGCGAACTCCAACGTTCCCCGCCTCACTTTCCAGCCTCTCAGTTGCAACTCTAAGCAACTATATACTATGTTGCAAATAAGAAGCTAAACAAAACCCCAGAAAAGGGCTTCCATTCAGCCGGGCTCGGACCGCAACATTGTATCTATGTTTTCAGCAGCGAGGCCTCAGAGCTAAAGCTGGCCCAGAATAAAAAAAAAAAAGAGAGAAAAACAAGGAGCGGTTGGAAGCTTTAGTCACTCGCCAGCCGGAAAACAGCCCTCAGCCCCTCACCCAGACTGGCCAGGCACCCCAGTGGGGACCCCCACCCTGATCCAGGACACCCTTCAGGGCAAACCAGCCAGCCCCTACCCATGCACCAGGCCTCTATCCTATATAGTAAAAGGGTAATAGGCCTCCCAGCACCGGGATCAGCGGAGCAGCGAGGCTCCCGGCACCGGGATCAGCATGACAGGGGGCAGCGCCCAAACCCCCTGATCGCCCTGCGGCTCTGTGTGTGACAGGGGGCGGGGCCACAACCTCCCTATCCGCCCTACTCTGTTCGTGACAGGGGAAGGCACCCCAACCCCCTGATCAGCCCTCCTCTGTGCCTGATAGGGGGGAGCTCCCCAATCTCCTAACTGCCCTGGGGCTCTGTGTGTGACAGGGTGCGGCGCCCCAACCACCCCCCCACCACGGGCCCTGCTCTGTGTGAGACGGGGTAGAGCCATAACCTCCCCATCGGCCCTGCCCTGAGTGTGACAGGGTGCAGCGCCCCAACCCCCTGATCCACCCTGCTCTGTATGTGACAGGGGGCGGTGCCCCAACTCCCCTATCGGCCCTACTCTATGAGTGACAGGGGGGAGCTCCTCAACCCCCTGATCGGCCCTGCTCTGTGGGGATAGAGGGCGGCGCCCCAACCCCCTGATCCGCCCTGCTCTGTGTGGGACAGGGGCGGTGCCCCAGCTCCCCTATCGGCCCTACTCTGTGAGTGACAGCGGGGAGCTCCTCAACCCCCTGATCGGCCCTGCTCTGTGGGGATAGAGGGCGGCGCCCCAACCCCCTGATCCGCCCTGCTCTGTGCGTGACAGGGGGCAGAGCCCCAACCCCCTGATCGGCCCTGCTCTGTGGGTGATAGAGGGCGGCGCCCCAACCCCCTGATCCGCCCTGCTCTGTGCGTGACAGGGGGGAACTCCCCAACCCCCTGATCGACCCTGCTCCGTGCGTGACAGGGTAAGGAGCCCCAACCCCCCTGATGGGCCCTGCTCTGTGAGTGACAGGGGGCAGCACCCCAACCCCCTGATCGGCCCTGCTCTGTGAGTGACAGGGGGCAGCGCCCCAACCCCCCTGATGGGCCCTGCTCTGAGAGTGACAGGCTCAATGCAGGAGCTGTCCCCTGGTGGTCAGTGCGCTCCCACAGGGGGAGTGCGGCTCAGCCAGAAGCCGGGCTCATGGCTGGCAAGCGCAGCGGCGGTGGTGGGAGCCTCTCTCGCCTCCACAGCAGCGCTAAGCCGGCAGTCGGACATCCCCCGAGTGCTCCCAGACTATGAGAGGGTGCAGGCTGGGCTGAGGGACACCCCCCAAGTTCACAAATTGTATGCACCAGGCCTCTAGTTAAGCTATAATTTGTTTTGTGGGAATGTCTATATCTACATTTTATCTCACAATAAAGAAAGTTGAAAGTCTTTCCAGTCCCTTACCTGTGCCTTGGCCAATTTCTTTTCCAGAAGATCCCGTTCCCGCTCTGTTTGCTGCAGACGTTTATTAAGCTCCACTATGTCTCCCTTGAGTGATGCCAGGGCTGCCAAGTGGAGCTGCGGCGACAGAAAGAAAGGAGCACAAGGTTAGAACCTTCAGCAGAAACTCATTTCCTTCCTTTCATTCCCTGTAATTAGTGTGATCATATAAAAAATGTTTCACCTCAAACGGGATGCTTTGGGTGCTATTAATCTCAGGGGACAACAGACATAAATCAGATGTCTTATAGGAAGCTGGGTTGTATGATCACCCTAAATGTAACAGGAGAAAACTATTGTATGTAGGCAGTGAGACCTAATTTTGAAAGGTCAAATCAGGATGGCGAGCAAAGCTTCTCATTCTAGGGGCTTTCCCTGAGTTCCTCAGCAAGGATGATATTAAGAGCTGGTGTGGGGCTGCCTGATTTTCAACATGAGAAGGATAAGGCAGAACAGAATTAGCTTCTACCTTTGGAAAAAATATGAATGTTGAATAGGGCAATTCAAATGTTTGTTGCAATTCAATCACCCACATTGCTGTGTGAACAACAGACAGACCAAAGGGCTGAGTTTTTAAATTTTTTAATTAATTTAATTTTTTCCATCACCATTTATCCCCTCTATGCCCTCTTCCACCTCCACCCACCCCTTTCTCCCCTGGGGCTGAGTTTTAAGAAAAAAAATGGGAGAGCTCATTTCTTCAGATGGTCTCCTCCTACAGTTGCCTGTTAGTTTTTTGGTGGCTCATTCTTCCTCACTGTCCCCCAGCTGGACTAGACTGACCAGATGCTTTTGCACCAGCAGGTCCTCTCAGAGGAGCAGCAGCCAGACTCTGATAAATTATGCTGTGAACAGACCAACCAAGAATCCATCCAGGTATCTTTCCCTGGCCAATTCTCTCAGGTTAACCGGAGCCAGAGAGAACGCTCTTCACCAGAGGAACAAGTGGTACCATGCACTGCCAGGATCTCAAGAGCTCCACTTTCAAGTTCTGAACACCAAGCTCCAGCTGCACATGCACCTGCCACACAGCTGCCTGCTGGGGCTTCCGGGGCCAATGGATGGGACTAGCCCTAAGATCCATTCAAAACGCTAATCCTGGAGCAATACCACCTTTCAACCTTTGCTCTCTGAGTTACCACTTCTCATCTGTCTTCATCATCAATTCCAGGTGGAGCTCAGCACACTCCCTAGCTGAGTTCCACATTACATTTGGGTGACTGACTAGAATTAACAAACCCTCCTCTTTAGAATTTTTTTTTTTTGTAGCTTCTGCCAAGAGGGACTTAAAGTAAGGAGTGAACAAATAAATGTGATCTTTAAAAATGGATGCAGTACAACAGTACATAGTTCAACTCTGAAGATTTGAATTTCAGGTTTAGAAAAATGCCCTTTTCTGCAACCGGCAACATCTACACTGCATGTTGTTGGCTGGCAGGCTTTGAGGAGGGGGTGGTGTTATGAGGCAGGGAGAAGGAGATACAGGGAGGACACTGGGATTTCAAAACAGTAGTTTATATTAGTCTATAACAGCAATGAAAGTGACTTCACTTAATTGCATCGGGGCTGCAAACCAACAGATCAATAGCCGACGTGAAATCGGGAATGCTTGAAATTAAAAAAGGAAATGTCAGGCAATCTGGTGGTATTTGCCTTCCTATGGAGGGCTAGGGCCCTCCGAAAAGGTCACTTTGGGTTTCACATACAAGGTTCTGTCTGATGAATTCTCAGCACAAACACCACAGTGTTCCCATTGTACAATCTTTTTGAGGCTGTTTTGCTTCCCATATGGTAGAGTGGGACACAATCCACTCCCTTAGCAACTGGGGTGACCCTCCTCCTATGAACTGTCAATCTGAGGATTTTCCTTCAGTGTCAGACATTGTGCCCTTTGCACTATTATGTCAGGTCTTGGGAGAAGGTTCTCCATGTCACTTCTGGCGAGAAGGATAAACTACACGGGGAGCTGAGATGTTCTCTCAGAAATAAAGGAGTGGGAACGAGGACCTTGACTGTGTCAGCCTGTTTCCTCCCTTACAACATCTTCCCTCTGACTCCTGGGGGACAGGGCTGCCTGAAGGGGTGGGGGGAGAATTAGGGGGAAAAGATGCCAGAGGAGGCTGGGCCAGATGGGGAGACCTAGAGGAGTTATTTCCATCATAGTGCAGAGCAGAGGGCACCCAGGATGGGTCACTTCCATGGAGGAGAGAGAGCACTGCTCTCCAGATTGGCAGGAAGATCCATAGGATGAGCATTTGGAGCAAGTCCCTTCACTTCCCTGACAGAAGGGGCCTGTCCATAAAGTGAGAGTATGAGAGTAGACCAGTGGTTCTTAACCTTCCTCAGGTCACAGATTCCTTAAGACTCTCATAAATGTGATGGGCCTTTCTCTTACAAAAGAGTATAAATTGGGGGTTCATGCATGTGTCCCACCTAATTATGGCGATAACACACTCTGGAAATATTCATGGATCCCAAATTAAGAAACATCTGGATTTGATGCCAGCTCCATGATCCCGCATTAAGTTTTGTAGACTGTCTCATATGCCCTAACACAGATGTCTGGTGAGGAAAAGGCCCTAGTACTGTACTTGACATCTCCCACTTCCAACCTGCAGGTGAGTATCTGAAACCCAGAGATCACTAGCTTACTCAAGGTCCCAGGGATAGCTTAACATCAGAACCAAGGCCACCAGTGCCCTTTCCTCACTATATGATGTTGTGACAGTAATTTTCAGGGTTTTTCTATGAGAATAAAATTTTTACTTTAAATATTTCCCTCTAATTATTAAAAAATGAAAATGTAATAAAAAATAAACCAGAAAGAAAACATTCTAAAGTTTAGTGGTGGCCTCTGGGTAGTTTCAAACTATTTTTGGATACTTAATTCTTTTTAAAAGAGAAAGAGGCTTTTGTATTAGACAAAAGGGTTGTGATTGTGTTTTCTGCACATACCAGCTGTATCGGAAAAATTGAAAAGGGTTATTTTCCTTTCTTGCTGCATCTTCCTTCCCACCCACCAGCTTTTCTGATAGAAAGTAAAACTTTAAAAATGAGGTAGAATACACACATGTCCCTAATGTTACTGACAATTACTCAGCAAAGCCATAACTACAGAGGATGGGAGGGAGAGGGGAAAAAGTTTGCTCAAAGTCACAAGACCTGTTGCTTGGAATCCAGCTGACAGGCCCCTCCTTTACCACCTAGTGACTGGACACAGATAAGTAAGTTCCCACCACAAGGTGTGCTCCCCACTCCCAGTGAATCTCAGTTCAGCAGCTCTCCTGGTCCCACCTTATCAATAACTCGGTAATCAAAAGCTGATTAGCCCTCCCTTCTTTCTGGGTCTCATCCGCTCATCCTGCCAGAACTGGTGGTATCTCTGCAAATTCATAAGCTAGAGAGTGTGGGCGGTGCTACAGGTAGTATGATGGAACCTGTGTAGTGTCAAGATAGGCATTGGAAATAAGTATAAAGTTCTTTCTGGGTAATTTTTAAAAGGAGTGACAGTGGGTTTAAATCTCAGGAAAGATAAATTTACCAAAATTGACAAGATCTATAGTAGGAAAATTACATATATATCATTTGGGGGGTCTTGTTACTTATATTCTGGTTTCTGAAATGGCCTCTAACGAGTTAGAGCTTCAGACATATGAACTATGAAGTACCATTACATGAAGCTGTTTCACTCACCAAAGAGGAAGAAAATATATCATATTTGGAGTCAGTGCTAGTCTCTCCCAACACATTTCTCTCTTCATGCTCAGGAAGAAGACCTTGATTTTTAGTTGGTTATACTGCAGTTCAGCTACCATGTCCCAGTTTTCAGCCTCCCTTGCAGTTGGAGCTAGATGTAGACATGTGACAATGCTCTGGCCAATAAGATGTAAGCGGAACATTATGTGGGAGTTCTGGGAAAATCTTTTTGAAAGAGGGCCTGCCCTTTTTCTCTTCCTTGCTTGGTATATTAATGTGATGGATGGAGCAGCCATCTTGCTTCATAAAGATGAGGTCACCTTCCAGGGAGCCGAAAGGTGCCTGATTCATTAACAGTTTTGTAGCGCCACACTATCCTTTGGAATGTCCAGACATCTGTAACAGGACATGAGAAACAGACCTCTGTTGTATAGACCAACATTATGTTGAGGTACTCTAGCAAGTGAAGTTGACTTAATCCTCATTTATAAAGAATCAGATAAGCCTGGGTTCAAATCTCATTTATGCCACTTATTGGTCGATTGTCTTCGGACAGTTTATTTAATTGCCTTGTTACAGGGCTGCCATAAAGTCAAATGAGACAGCATTCACAGAGTGAGCAGCATGGTGTCTGGAAGCAGGTGAGTGTTCCTCTTTTCCAGCCATGTTTCAAGTCAACAGCCTTCTCAGACTAAGCCCCACCCAAGGAGTGAGAGGAACATTTAGATGAATAAGTAACACAGTCCTGTCTTAGAGCACCTTCCTTCCTGGTGGGTATCACTTGGGACTGAGGGAGAGCTGCTGTACTGGTTTCTACTGAAGCCCTAAGGCTTATCTTAAGGAGATGATGGGCAAGGCTCTTCATTCTCTGTGAAATTTTAATCCGAGGTCTAAGCAAGGTTGGGATGGGACCTTGACATTTTCTATACAAATTTGGGACTAGTGCACGAAGGATATAAATCCGTGCACACCTCATGTCTAGAGACAGAAGCACTAATTCCCTAGGCTGTTTTCAGCCCTGCTTCACATTTCCAGGTTCCAAACAACCTGGAAATTGGGCTTCAGCATAACTGTCAAAATGGCTGTTATTTTTGGATGAAACATTACTTGTCTAATATTTCATTGTCCAACTGGCTATTAGGATGAGCTCATTTAGCCTCTGACGGATAGTGTCCAGCTGCCTGGGCCCAGGTGAGAAGCTAGCAGTGTCTTTTTGATGGCCTCTCCCGTCGGCTCCTTTTGGGCCAAGAGCACAGATGTCTTTCCTGTTACACATTAGCCATGAGACAAAGGGCTTCACACTTCTTAATCTGCCCTTTTAAGTCAGCAGCTCAAGGACTCTGGTGAGCCCTCAAGAGCACCACTGTGTATTGTAGGTGATA